ATTACAGGCGTACTGTAATAAACCTTGGCTCAAGAATACCTGTCAATGAGCTGTACATGTGCTGTTAGAGGTTGGGGTTTGATGATGAGTGAGCTATAGGCACCACTCAGTCTAGAGGTCAAAGTTGTACAGTCACCCATAGAAGTTTCTCAGCTAAATTTGGTCAAATAGCCCAGGGGTCCCCAACCCCCAGGCCGCGGACCGGTACCGGGCCTTGGGCTAGGCCAAACTGGGCATTATGTTATTTGCATTGTGTGTCAAACTTTTTACTACATATCACAAGGGAATTTATATTCATTCAAAATGTTCAATAAACTGATTTAATTTTAGTTTGAATATACAATTTTCTGCTCTGACCACCACCAACACAAGGCTCCGCAGCAGACTGGACGTTAACAACACACTGTGCCTGTCACTCACACACAGTCGCACGCTATGACCACCTTGTCTCTGGAAAACGGGCTTAGGGCTCACATTGATGGTGAGTTAAGTATTGACTGATTGGTTAAGCACTCTGTAAATAAAGAAAAGAAATCCACAGCACTTTTGTGTGCCTTGGCCTAAATGTCCATTCACTGAAGGCCATCAGATCCCTTTTCTCCTCTTCCTGCCCATTCCTGATATGCGCCACAATAGCTGTGTCATCTGAGTATTTCTGGATATGGCAGGACTCAGAGTTGTATTTAAAGTCTGCCGTATACAGGGTGAACAGGAACAGTGCCAGAACAGTCCCCTGTGGAGCCGCAGTGCTGCTCATGACTATCCCTGAGACACAGTTACCCAGTCTGACGTACTGTGGTCGTCTTGTCAGGTAATCCACAATCCAGGACGTGAAGCAGGGATCCTTGTGTGTCTCGATGTTGTCCCAGCTGACTCCTAATTCTGGTTCCCAGTCAGTGGTCCCACTGAACAGCCTGTCCGTAAGGCCTCCGGGCCATCCTCCCAAATTGCTCTGTTTTGCCCCTGAGCATGTCTGCGATCTGCTCTACCCCTGTGATCCCAGGCTTCTTCCCTTACCCAGTTACTTTCCTTCCTGTCCACTGACCCCTGGTATGATTCCTTATATAATATAGCAGTATAATTTACTAATGATAATTTACTATGATTGGATGCTGGTTTATTTGAAACATACCTTGTTGACCTGCTTCTTCTCACTGATCCTCCACCACACAGTGTCTAGTGCTCCTACAGCTAACTAATATACACCAACAAGATTACCCATATAATAAAGTAGTATAATACTTTTTGTAGTTAGTGTGAATCTCCATTAATTTTCAAAATTGCTGGCCTATTATAACCTCACCTTTTATACTTACCTTGTGTTTTCAATATTTCTCCATCTTCCCTCAATCAGCTGAGCTGCGAACTATTAAAGACAGGTAATAGTCACCAGAATCACAGAGCCCATATACATTCATGTTACATGTTTGTTTACCGTTGAGAAAGGGTCTCTTCATTATTACTGTGTAACATTAGCTCCTACTCCAAAATGGATATTCACACACACCCAGTGTTATATTAAACTAATATTTAACAAACTTTACCCAGAAAAATCATATTTAGAAGCCTTTTTACTCTAATTCCACTACATGGGATGAAATGGCATTACGAGAATAGGCTGTTCCTGTTTAATGTTATGTGTTGCTTACTTTATCCATATGCAGTACCTTTGTCTAATATACAAATTTAGTGGAGGAAATCCACTAATATGCTTTTAATGCACATGTTAATGAGATTTACAATGCACATTAGAAATGTGCTTCACAAACGCTATATTCTTCTTCCATTGCTGTAAAAAAAAGGGTCCATTGGAGTGAACGGAGATTACGCGACTCTTTCTTCAAGGGATCTGATGTAAAACACTGAGTAGTGCAGCAGTATGGTCTATCGATATTTATTTCAATATTTAGACTTTTATACTTTACATCAAGGAGATAAGATAGTCTGGCAGTAAATATATTGTCATACAGTTTATGACAAAAAAAGTAAACAAAGGAATATTCATTATTTTAGTAGTCAACAGGTTGAAGTTTTAGAGATATACTTTACTAATTTTTTAGACTAATTTATGACACTGTTGACTTGGATTATATTGAGGTGTTTCTCGTATTTTGTCTACAGTTTATAATTTTATACTATTCAATATCACAATCTACAGTTTCCAAAATTAACAACAGCAGCATCGCTAACTGACAAAACAAAAATAAACTGAATATTTCAATCATCATAAAACTTGTAATCAAGTCATGTAAGTTTTAGCTAACCCTAACCCAATAAATAAGTGTATTTGAAAATTAGATAAGGAATAGTCAGTTTATACTTTGATTTCTGGGTTTTTTTTAAATGTAGCTAACAAATATGCTTACAGTGTTTTTAACCACTTAATGTTTTAAATAAATGTTAGTCCAATTTATAAACTGTTATTGTTATTGTTGTAGCTCTAATTTTGTTCAATACAAAGTGTTAATAAGAGGTCCACTGTGAGGGAAAATGTTATACAATCTTGTTATTGATATCAAGGAGTATTCCTGTTAAGGCTGCCAGTAATAATATATCAATTTTTACTATCTACTATTTTTATTAATTGTTCACTACTTTGATCAGCATTTTTTGGCCTCATGTTCAGATATTACAGCATCAAGTCATCCTCAGCTCGAAATAAAACCTCTGGAAGTCATTCTCTTTGCAAGGGGGAAGGTTGTTTTTTTTTATAGCCTATATAACAATGTTTGTTAGAGCAGTTCCACTAAAATGTTTATTGCTCATAATATGTCATCTCGGTTGGGTTAGGCGGTATCCAATTTTCGACACTGTTAAACCTTCCCCCCAATTTTCCCATGGTATAAGATAGTAATGTATTTCTGCTGATTAAAAATCACACGGATTTTGAGGGAGCCTCCGATTACTGCTGTACCATTTCCCACCTCAAGGTGGCTGCAGTGCACTTTTAACGGTAATTTGCCATCCTATGTTAGCCTTACTTTAACGTTTTTATGTTCATTCACTGTTTGCAGAACTGAAGTAAAAAGGGTTTTGGAGTAATTGGCGTACAAGATCATTGCCTCACAGACTGGCCTGGTTTATTGGGGATGAATGTGATCCGTGAATGTTGGGATGTGCTGTTCTCAAGTGGACAATCTGTGCTACAATGTGATTTCTCTGCCTCCGCCACAGGTCAACAAGCCTGGGGCCGAGCCCTACAACAGAGTACATGGGAAAAACTCTTTGCTGCTGCAGATGGAAGAGTAGCTTTATCTGCCTCATGGCCAAGAGCCTGTGTGCTTATAGTTGTATAGATAAGTGTTTCCATGAAAGTGTCTTCCGCTTTCTAAAAGAAAGGAGCGGCGTAGTTGGCTTGTTTAATGCAGAAGAAGGTCCAGACCCTAATCGTCGGCTATAGAGACACAGTGGAGCATAATACAGTGTCAGAAAAATCAATCAGACAGAAGGTATCTGATTCAAAATCTAACCTTAAGTAAAATTTTGTTAAAAGTGAAAAAAAGTAAGTTAAAAGTACAATTTGATTTAATAGATCAACATAAGTGAAGTCATTTTATAATGTATGTATTTTTTTATTTTGGAATATGTGAATACTTGACATTCTGATTCACACTCCACACAAGTAGGTGGCGCTAATGCATCAATTTGTTGTTTGCCAACCACCAATAATCCTCAAAGGAGAAGAGGAAGGAGAAGGATGATAGTAATGGTACAATGTATGCTGCATTTACTTTGAAGGAAAGGTCTAAACTAACACCAACTGTAAAGGATGACATTTGTTATATTATGTTAAAACATTTAGGCATTTAGGATTTTATAAAAAAGTATGGGAAGTGCGAGAATAACCAATAACTTGGAAAGAGGCAGTAATTATTCAATTCAGGAAACCAGGGAAAAACCCATCAAATCTAATAAACTACAGGCCAATAGCACTGCCATTACACATCAGAAAGACAATGGAAAGAATGATTACAGAAAGATTAACATATTATATTATCTGATATTATCCATCAGAGCAGATTTAGGAAAGGTAGAGGTACCATGGATGTTTGGAAATAGGTTAGGAGAGCGCAAGTTAACAAAGAATCGGTGATGGCAGTTATTTTTGACATAGAGAAGGCATATGACATGGTCTGGAAGGAGGGATTAATGATCAAATTAAATATGATATTTAATTTGATCATTAATCCCTCTTTCCAGTTATGTGAATATCAGCTCACAGAGGGATTAAGGGCATTGAAACTGTGGATTCATTAGCAAAAAAGGCACTGAAAGATGAGGAGGTCATGGACATTTCACTTAAAAGGAATAATCAGAGGATAATCAGGGATAATCAGAAGAAACATCATTAAAGAGTGGCAGCACAGTTGGGATACAGGAAAAACAGGACGACACCTTTATGCAGTACAGCTAAAAGGAACACCAAGGAGGAGAGATTTTAACAAGGCTCAGGGTAGGACATACCCGACTCAATATAACACTGCACATTATAAATAAAAACATCCCTCAGGATTATGTGAGTTCTGTCAAGTAGAGGAATCAGTTAAGCATGTAATTCTTCACTGCCAAAAGTACTGTCAAGAACGAGCTTATTACATTATTAGAGTTTTATTTATTTATTTATTTATTTATTTATTTATTTTTTTTTTTGGGGGGGGGGGGGGGGGTTTTTTGTTTTGGTCCCCCCCCCGCTTTAACGCTGGTTGCCCAAAAAGAAAGAAAGAAGAAGATACCCCTTTTAGTCAATAAGGAGGGCAAAACACAAATTTTTGTTGTCAGGTCTCTTGGGGAACTCTGCAAGAAAGGTATATGGTGAAATTATTTAATTTAAACTGGTTTAGCCAAAACAATTTTTGTTTGTTTCGTTGCTTTTTTTCCTGCATAATCGCCTTATGTACACTCCAGTCCAGTCGGTGGCGGCAATGCATCTATAATCTAGTTTTCCAACTGCCAATAAACACCAAAGAAGAAGAAAAACAAGCAGAAGAAGAAAGCGGAAGTCGGTGCTGCTACCTTGACAGCTGAGCGGACCGCAGTGCTGTGTCCGTTGCTGTTAACTTACACGCCGAGGTGACCAGCCACGATGGCCCCCTTCCCGGCTGCTGGTTAAGATGTTAATAACTTTGTGCTACGTCTACATGTGGGTGCGCTTTCACAAGTGCTACTCGGTCCTGATCCGCAACAGTCTATCCAGATTGAACAGCAGCAGCTTCAGCTTTAGCGTCTGCTCCAGCTCGGCCACAGCACCGCCGACTGGATGCCACACAGCCGCCCGCCGGTGTCCCAGTCCGCTTCCACCCGAGGACATTGTCTTCCTCCAGCTCGGAGATAAGGCCGTCTACGTCACGGAGCCTCAGGTTGGAAACCGGAGCAAGCTGTTTGTGAAATGACATGATGTCACAGATAGTCTGTGGTAGCTGGGTACAGCCTGGGCCTGTGTAGCCTTGTTTACATGTGTCAATCTCCTCAAAGCAGCGATGTCACGTTTAAACTCGTTTACAGTGACACAGCTCAACTATTATATATATTTTACTAAACTTTGTGTACCTTGTTTTCTTATGCGTGTGAAAAGAAACCTAGATAATGTTACCTAAAGTGTTTTTAAATAGCATTCAATTTCAAAACAGAAAAGACCTAAGCCCTGAATCCTCACAGACCTAATTTACTTCACTTGGTAAGTGATGTGAGTGTGAGAGGCTGCAAGGCCTCAAAATGGTATAAATGGGAATGGTACAGCACTTTGTTACATATCACGTTACTTTGAAGACACCAAAACATGTTGCATACAGTTGTGGGTTTGGGACTTTTGATTTTTTTTTTACTCCCTCCCTTCCTTAACTGTTTGTAAACAAAACAGTGTTGAATCAGATCTGATGAAAGATTTGGTATTCATCATCATGCCATCTTAGGACAAATAACTACACACAGTTCTGACTGTGAATCACCACTGAGCTCTGTTTATACTTAGAGGTAGACTTCTTTTCTCTTGTAATGCTAATGTTAGGGTTTCTTCCTTTCATGCTTGTTTGTTGTTGTTCTTCTATCTTCTGTTGGCAATTGTTTACTGCTTTTTTTTTACACATCCCGGCATCCCCTGAGAACCACGGTAACCTTGTTTTTAATGTCACAATGCTATGAACTGGACAGTGTGGACAGTATGCATAAACGGCTCAACCGGGAGCACGCCTCAAAGTCTGTGAGAGTGAACATTTGGACCATAGAGTGCTGCAGGAATGAGTCCTTAAACCTGGAAATTAGTTTGATGGTTTACACCTTCAGGTCCCTTATCCTGAAGTCTCTGGATTTTTGAATGAGTTTTTGGTTTGATAATTGAAATAAGGTCCGTGGTTAACAAAGCTCAAGACATTGTCATGTTTTTTCTGACAAAATACATTAGTAAATACCCCAGTCGTAATGTCTTTAAGGTTTTACATCTCTTAATAAAGGCAGGTTGCTAACAAGTGTCTAAATGAGACTACAGAGGTTGTTGGAGAGGGTAAACGTTATCGCATGAAAATCGATCTACTCACCAGTCGACCTTTACAGCCTCATTGTGTTTATATTCGTGCTTGTACAAACTACTACTAACTTTGTAAGAGGTAAGGCTTTTGTTGAAGAGGTAAGAGCTAAATCAAACTACAAGTTGTAGTTTAGTGGTTGTGATGTTGAAGTCATGCGACTGTGGTGTAGTTTTATGTGTAGGTTTATAGTACTTTTTACTTGTGTTGATTGTGTTTAGGCTTCAACAATCATAAAGTGGTGTTCATTATTCATCATAATTATTATCCTGCTTAACAAAACATGTCAGTATCATAATCTGTTGTTTGTCAGAGTTTATTTTCTGTAATAATCCAAAAGACATCATAAAAATCCCATTGGCTTTTTGTGGAGGGAACCACGGAGATGCTAACATCCGAGTTGGCAAACAAGAATACGTCATATGTCACAGATCTGGTGTCCCCGTAGTTGAAGTCTGCAGTGGGGCCCTCTTGGGGTGACTGTCGGAAAAATGTGTTGGTGGATGCTCAAAATTACAACAGCTGTTGAAAATCGGAGGAGAAGGCGTAACTATCCTTAAGTATACTAATATTTAGTTAAACTATCAAAACGCTCCTATTAACTGTGTCTTTGGTGAGTAGTTCATATTCAGTCACATTTTTAACACTGCAGGTACAGTGATTCCTCCTCTGCCTTTTGAGATGAAGGTGTTTTTATGTCCCTGTGCTGGCGACAGCCAGAGCCTGAGGCATATTGCATATTGCATCTCATTCTTTTGGACACGATATCTCAGTAGCTGCTTGCTCCCCTGTGAATGTGTCTGTCTGTTTTCATTGTAATTTCATGACATATTCATTCTTATTTGAGTAAAGCTGCATCACCCAGAGCCTGGTAATAGTTCATATAGTATATGATGTTATATTAGGGTTGTGCCAATGGACGATCATATCGGTGATCCGTGATCATCATCATCCGTGATTGCAAATAGCTCATGCCTTTGCAAATTTCAAGACGATATTTGACTTGTTTCCTATTAAGGTAATGACTTATTATTTGTAGTATTACTCTCACACTTTGAGCAGCTGATCGTAATCAATTCTACTTGTTGTGTGTAGGAGCTACTCTGATTTAAGAGCAGAGATCGACATACAGACAGAACACGTCATTTAGTTTGGTTTCTCAGTGAATGAGAGAGATGCATTATTTGTGATGACAATACATACCCATAAAATGTATTTGTAATCTTACTGTCATCACTCAGGTCATCCATAAGATGATCCATGAATAAAGAGAGAGAGAGAGACAGAGAGAGAGACCGAGAGAGAGGCTAGCAACATGGGACATACTTGCTTTTTTGTGCACTCGTCTTTCTCTCTCATGCTCATAGGGTAACATATAGTGTGACTTCTTCCTTCTTCTTGCCTTCCTTAAAGATGGGGCAAGTTGAATTACATTCTCCTTCACATTTTCTATTGCATCCATACTGCACTTTCTTCTTGCTCACGCCAAGTATCTGGGGGGGAAACTGACACAGTGCCATCTATATAATGTCAGGGAAAAAAATGTAAACCAGTGCTGTTACAAGACTAAAAAATATGAACTGATATTTTTGGAATCTATGAATCAATTTTGAATTGGTAGAGATGGAATCGCGATCCTAATGTGATTCGATCTTTTATCTTGCACACGTCTAACAAGTTGCTATGAGTCTGGCGATATTTCCAGTCATACAGATCATACCACGGTCACATGATTTCAATGTCACCACCACTAAACTTCAACTTGTAGTTTAATTTAGCTCTTACCTCTTCCACAAAAGCCTTTCCTCTTACAAAGTTAGTAATGGTTTGTAAACCAGCAAATATAAACACAATGAGGCTGCAAAGGTGGACTGGTGAGTAAATCTGTTTCATGTTCGATGTGATGATGTTTATCGTCCCAGACAACCTCTGTAGTCTCATTTAAACCTCTCATTTAGGCCTTTTTTAAGAGACATAAACGCTTAAAGAAATCACGACTGGGGTATTTACTGATGTATTTTAAGTTCTAGAATAAAATGTGAAAATGTCTTGAGCTTGTGACAGACCGTATTTCAGTCATCTAACCAAAAACCCATTAAAAAAAAAAAACCTAAAGACTGCAGGGCAAGGGAACTGGAGGTGCTAAAATGCTAACTAATTTCCATGTTTTAGGACTCATTCCTGCCGCATTCTATGGAAGCAAATTAACGGTCTCCATAGAAACAGTAGAATTTTACTGCTGTAAAATCTCGTTTACTGCTGCAAATGCCTCAACTTACTTTCCTTAACTAAGGAAACCTTTTAAGAGATTCTGTCCACCCCCCTAAGTAACTCCTTCAGCTAAGGAGAAATTAAATCTTAAGTATCATACTCAAGTAGAAAACTTAATGTGTTTTGTGTGGCCGGCTCCTGAGCTTCCCTTATGTTGTGTTTTACAGAGTCAGAGTTTTCAGTAAACCCGCTCTCTGGAACACCCTCACACTGGCTTATTTCTCAGACTGTTGCTGACAAAACTCTGGTCAGACTCTTGGACAGACTAGATCTGTTCAGTCAGTCCAAGAGTCTGACCTCTGACTCTTTGCTTAGAGTTTATTTAAATGTCAGTATTTCTAAAACTACAGATCTTCTCTAGACATTTTCAAAGTTAAATTTCACATCCTATTTTCTGATCTGGCTCACAAAGTAAGATACAACAAAAGAATGAATGAATGAATGGAAAACAAGTCAGTTGGCACTGTAACAGAACCAGAACCTGAAAGGACCAGACTTCAATACCTAGCTCTAAAACACAAAGATTTACGTCAAAGATGTCCTTTTTAGACTCCAGTCATACTTGGGTCAAATGTCCTCATCTTTGAGACCCGTCCTGGACTTTTCAGCTGTGAGACTTGACCTGCTTGAGACTGCACTGCTTTAAGACTCAACTTGATTTGAGCCATGGAGAAAAATGTTGATCAGATGAGTGTGACCAAGAGTAACAAACACTGAATGTGTTGCTGTGTGTAGTTTAGCGCTGCCATACTGGTCTAACTAACTGTGTTTTCAGAACTTTAACACTTTCAAATGCACAATTAAATCATTTGTCTCATTTTATGAAAATGGCTGCAGCCTGAATCTCTTTGTGTCACTGTTTTACTGAAGCATTTGATGACTACTGTCACTAACTACTAATCAGTGTTTAAGAGCCTTGTGGTGATTTGAGTATTTTTTTTTCTGTGTTGTCTGTACTGTCCCCAGGCATGTGATGACATCAGCAAATGGACTGTGCTGTTGGGGTCCTCTCTGGTTTGTGGTCCACAAATAGAGAATATTTCATTCATCATAGAAGCTTCAGGACACAGAGTGGGCTACCATTCTCATCACAAATCAAATAAGAAAGTAGGCACTACACATTGCTTAAAAAGTGACATTAACTATGTCCCAGTTCAGGGGCCGCAGGTGTGGCCATAGATCATGACGGCCGGACTAAAATGAGACGGTCTGGCCTATGGAGGATTTCTGCTTGTGTCACAACATGCAACTTTTTTTTTTTTTTTTTTTTTTTTTTTTTTTTTTTTTTTTTTTACAAAAACCTGAGAAACATGCTATTTTCTTTAATGGTGCACAGTGAATATTGGGATAGGTTGGGCCATGAAGGATCTGTCTGTTGGAGCCTTGGTTTCCTAGGAAAAGAAGGTCGCATTTCTCAGCCGCATTTAAAGGAGCTTGTGAAGTGGGACAGTCTAGTCGCACAGCTGTGATGCAGTCAGTCTTCAAATGCAGCCTTTGAATGATGTGGCCCCTGAATCGGGACACAGCTATTGTCAAAACTAATGTTTCAAACACTGAACTTTATTATTCCCTAATCTCATGAATCTATGGTTCATGTATCTATGTATTATCTATGTATATGCATGTGTATTTATTATGTGTATTTTTTTGTAAACTTTTAAAGCTTTTCCATGTGTATTAACTGTTATGTTTTTGTAAATGGTGTATATAATATGCTCATCCCAGCTAACTGCTAAGCTAGTCAATTACATTTATATCTGGAGTGCAGTGCTATCTGTAGGGTAAGCAGATTAGTAGAACTGTTGGATCATATAAACATGTCTCCCATATTTACTTACAATTGCATGCTGCATTCATTACCATATTTGCATATCTTGAGAACGTGCTCAGGGAGAACCCATGTACCATGAATCTTTCAACTGTGTCATGGTTCATGAGTTCTTAGCCAAAGTACCTTATGAATGGCCGCATGGTGACTCCACTGGTGCCATGCTTCAGTGTGTTGAGCACATGCCTGCCCAAGGTGAATGTGTAGACCAAGAACTGTTTGTTTTGTTTGCTGGATAATGCTGGATAAACACAGGCCCAGATTGAGTGACCCTCAGATGGAGACATGTAAACGTGTGGTCTGAGGTTTGAGAGCTCACAGAAAAAAGGCAACTTGAAAATGACTGGAAATACATTTTATAATTATTTGTACCTAGTTCAAATGTAATAATCCTTGGAAAACATTTTGCTGTCTTTTTAGTAAGGATTTCATATTTGGTGCACCCCCTTCAGCATTGTCAGTGTAATGGAGAACAATATAGCACAACATTAATTGTTGTGTGCCGTAACCTAGTAACCCACAACAGTCAACATTAGTACATACTGTCTACTTCATTGTATCAGTATACACAAAGTGATGCTGTTGTGTTGCTTATAGTACAGTTCTACTTTATTATTCATCTTTATAAGTATTATTCAGTTTTTAGTTAATTGGTTTGACAATTGCATCTAAAACTGTACTGTAGTGTTTGATGCTCAGGGTGGAGCAAATGGTTCAAATGCATTTCTCCATCAGTATTTTTTTTCTCCACCTGCTTCAATGCTCTGTACAAGTACACACCCCTAAGGTCCAGACATGTTGGTGCAGTAGACAGGACTGAATGAACTCTGTGGATCAGTACAGAGTGTGTGCTAACCAGTATGTATTGTGTGTAGGTGCTGAAGTGGTCTGACTACTGTCTTCCTCTTGCCTGTTGCCCCGGCCAGCCGTTCAGGGCGGTGGCTCGGGCCACTGTGGATAACTTCAGTCGGCTGGGAGTTGCATTTATTGAAGATCGCCTTCAGCTCGACAATGGACTTCTGCCTTCAAAGATAGTCCGTATGTTGCCTTCAATTACATAGATTATTTGTCCTTTTTATATTCAGTTGTATTTTTCATGTCACCAACTTTACACTTGTGTAAATTTATCTTGAGGCTTTTGTAAAGTTAAGTTAGAAAAATAATCAGATCACCAGCAAGAATAAGTTGTAACAAACTTTAATTCTTAGTTTAATCTTAGTTTCATTATCCACAGTTTTAAGAGGTTGGCCGGAATGACAAACACAGACAGCATTATCACCAACTCTGCCATTCCCATCAGCTCTACAGAGCTTTTTAACCTCTTTTTAGTTGTTTTTTTTCACACACTGCTCACATCAACCTTGTCTCTAGTAGCAGGCAGCTGTTTTTTGGGAAATAGTTCTGGTACACAGCGCAGCTCAGAACCAAACTGCAACCAGTTGGTGAACATGCTTAATCTCGTGGCAGCTGAAGAGCCAGATATTTTTCTCAGGACTTGGTGGAAACCAGAGCAGAGACAAAAGGAGGGTGAATATTGAACTTAAATTCATCATGACTTCAGATGAGTGCTAATGCGCTGTACATGCGGGATGTGTAAATAGACAACTGTTTGCTAACATGATGGCATATATCATCTTCAACAGTTAGTTAAGGCCTTGTTACCAGAATCACTTGTCTGTATGCTTTTATTTGAAGTCAGATTGCACTCACATTGTTTTTTGCATTTTTGTGTCTATAGCTGTTGTCCTCCTAGAATCCACCCTCAGTGAGCTGTTGGAGAAGCAGCGTCCACAGAACCCAAAGACTGTGACGACACGGTGGCTGTGCTCCACCCAGACTGAGGAGGGTGTTGCTAAGCCTTTACCTAATTACCTGTTAGCTGACCACCAGCACCCACAATGCCGTAAAGGCAGCCTTCTCCTCACCCCAGAGGCAAAGAGGAGGGTGGAGAAACGACGAGGGTCAGAGCCATTCCAGAGCACCCATGATCTAGGACCTGTTGGTGACTCGGAAGACCATTCCTTGGGGAATCATCACCACATGGAGGGCCATGGACACCACCTCCATCTGTCCAGCTGCCATGAATGTTTGGAGATGGAGAACAGCACCATCCTCTCTGTCAAATACGCCTCTGCTGAGAACATTACAGACCTTCCTGATGATAATTCAGTAGAGTTGGATAGTGGGGCTGAGACTCTGGATGAACTTGAGCATGACGCTGATGGGTTTTTTGGTCGAAGCGGTAGATTTGACTGCAATAGCAAACCGCCAAATGTTCTTGTGTACACAAATGGTTGCCAGGAGCGTTTTCACACAGTTCGTCAATTCCTATCAGAGTGTATAAACATGGAAAACAACATAATATATCCCCTCCAACCACAGCAGGCTCTGAGCGATCCATGGCTGGACAACACTAGGCTCCTGGTCCTGGCGGAGGAGGAAACGTTGACCCCCCAGCTTCAGACCCACTTCCTCACCTACTTGAGCCAGGGTGGCAAAGTCCTGGGGCTAGCCTCCACCCTGTGCCCTGCGGGGCTCTGTCTGGAAGTCAAGGAGAGCCAAAGAGAGAAGGTCAGCAGGCTGAGCTTCACTAAGGAAGACAGCACAGAGCTGGAACTGAGCGTGTTGGCGAGTGGGAAGGTCTACACCAGGGACACTATGGGAGGAGGGGAAGTGGAGCTGTGGGGGGAGCTGAAAGGGGACGTTCCTCATCAGAGGGATATGGTTATCGTCAGGGTGACTCACGGAGGGGATAGTGGGGAAGCTGTCCTCTGCCAGGTAAAGACATGACATTACTAAAGTAATGATTGTAATAGTTTACAGAGCTGAGTATTGTTTAAAATGTTTCAAGATTCAAAAATTTGTCTCATACTCATACAGCGCAGTCACCTTTTTTATAGGAACACCTGTAAAATTGAATCCAACATCTCAGCTATAAATTCTTCTATCACAAAGACAGTAATGTTCAGTTTTGATTTACACTGTGCAGGCTATTGATTCAACTGTATGTTTGTTAATGGGGCTGTAGTTTGTAGAGGTGTTGAGCTGGACTGCATTATACTGAGAGGTGTTTCTTATGTTTTGCCCCATTCACAGACATGAGGGGGGAAGAACATTAGAAACACTTTTCGATATAATGTGGCGCAGCACAACACCACCACTAACTATAGACTTCAGTAATAAACATGGAGGTGAATTAACACATCTCAGATTTTTAACAAAAACTGGCCATTATAAGCTTTGTAAAGGCAGCATATAGGGCAGTGCCCAATAAAGTCAACAGTGAGAGGGTTTGGGACACCTGGGAGGGTGTCCTAAAAGGTTAGTGTGCAATAATAATAATAAGAACTAGAAAATTCCTGGAGAAATTTTGAATGTTCCTGCTGCTTGGTGCGTGTAGTTCACTCCTCACGTTTCAATCTGTACAAAGGACGTTACTTTCAGTTTCATTCATGTTGTAGAGACACTGACCTCAGTCACTGCAGATGTTCCCCAAAAAGCCTTTTAAAGCTGTCATGGCTGGCCAAAATAACCTTACACTGATGGTTTCAAACCCAAATTTGCCCCTACAACCATAGCAAGACATGTATATTGACTCTTTCAGACTTTTATTTTGTAAGTGTCTATGCTTATGTGTTTGGCAGTAGGTTTTGTACAACAGAGCCAATAATTCCCTCTTACCATGTTGAGACTTTTATTTTGAAGGTTAATCCAAATCGTGTGTGTGTGTACAGCAGGTAGTCAGACACTGTGATATAGAAAACAGCAACTTTAACTGTGTTCAGAAAGAGCAGCAATAAAGTCTACCAGTAACAGAAACTGACTGGAGATGGGACACCACACTGACGTCAGCACGTCAACATGTGAGCGGCGTCATTACTATTAGTGAAAAGACATCAGTAGAAGTAAATCACTGTGTGAAAATGTTCTCAGATAAAAGAAGAAAAAAAGTCAGTTAAAATGTTTCTGAGTAACGGTGTTGCCACGTTACATTTGAAAGTGTGTGTGTTAGCCAATAAGAATCAGCTTTGTCCATTTCTGCCCGGATAGCGTTAGTAGCACCTGCTTAATCTCTCTCTATGAGCACTGACTTGTTAACAGCTTTGTGTGTGTGTGTGTGTTGTCGTGTGGTCGTGTGTTGTGTGTGTGTTGTGTTGTGTGTGTGTGTGTGGTGTGTGTGACTGTGTGTGTGTGTGTGTGTGTGTGTGTGTGTGTGTGTGTGTGTGTGTTTGTGTGTGTGTGGGCTGTGTTCATGAACATCACAGAGATCAAAGAGTCTCTTAACGAGCTGGTTCCAACATCTGTGTCTAGCTGGAAGACACAGAGGTGACTTAGATCTGGGTGTGATTTTGGCTTCTACTCAAGTGATGATGTCATCCACTCTAGCTCTGAAAATTCCATGCAATACACACCCATTATAAACTCAAAAGTGATCAGAAAAAAAGCTTGAAACTAAAACTGTGGTAATTCAAAAACTGTTGAAGATATTAAAAATTTGAATACAAGCTTAATAGCTGAAAGGCTTTTCTACAGTTTAAAGGTTGAATGAAGTCTGTAGCTGAAAGTATGCTGAAGTAGTTAAAGTTTAAAGAAGCCGAAGAAGCAGTGGGATTGCTGCTTCTGCCCAAACTGAAGCTAAACTGCATTGCTGGCTGCTGAGGAAAATCTGAAGCTGAGCTTAATTGTTAAATGCCTTTAACAATTCAAATGATACGCTGGCAACAAATGGCAGCAAGTCCACATATATAAATATATTTGTACATATTAGTATATTTTTTGTCGATTGATGTTTTTTATTCTACATCGTTGTTTCGTCTGATGATGGAGAAAATAATGTACACAAAGGAAGAACTCCTGGTTTTAAAGTCTACCAGATATGGAGTTAAACATCCCATACCATGTGTGGATTAACCCGGCTTCACTGCAGTACGAGCAGACAGAGACGCTGGAGCAAGTGGAAAGAATAAAGGGGGAGGACTGGTTCTTCCTGTGAACAATAGATGGTGCAACCCCGGTCATATCACAGTGAAGGAGAAGATCTGCTGTCGGGATATTTAACTGTTGGCAGTTGGTCTTAGACCGTACTATGTACCGAAGGAGTTCTCACACATTGTTGCCATTGTTGTTTACATTCAAGCACGAGCAGAGCCTGCAGTCGCGTGTGACGTCGTTCACAAGACTGTTGTGAGAGTACAGACCCAGCACCCTGATGCATTCATTGCAATATCGGGGGATTTTAACCATGTCACTCTCACCTCTCACCTGACTGGCTTCACTCAGTATGTTGACTTCCCCACAAGCGAAAATAAAACACTGGATCTGTTGTATGCAAATGTCAAGGAGGCCTACACTGCTTCAGCTCTGACACCACTTGGCAGATCAGATCATAATTTGTTTTTTCTTCAGCAGTTTTACAAGCCCTGTGTACTGAGACAGGCTGCAACCACCCACTCATTCAGGAACTGGACCCCAGAGGCCAGTGAGTGTCTAAAAGACTGTTTTGAGTACACAGATTGCAATGTCTTGTTCTGTCTGTTCTGTATGGACACTAATACCAGCAAGAACTGTACACTGCTTTCCAAACAACAAGCCCTGGATCACCAGTAACATCAAGACCCTCCTCAACCAGAAAGAAAAGGCCTTCATGGATGGAGACAGAGAGAAGCTCAGGTGTGTGCAACATGAGCTGAAGAGGAGATTAAAGCAGGCAAAGGAGTGCTACAAAAAGAAAGTAGAGAGGAAGCTGCAGCACAACAACACCAGAGAGGTGTGGAAGGGGATGAGGACCATCACTGGCTATAAAGACAAGAACAGCCAGGCAACATTAGGTGATGTGGACAAGGCCAATGAGTTCAACCTGTTCTACAACAGGTTTGACACAGCCTCACCTGTTCTCTCTCCCACTGCTTCAGCTGCAGCTTTTCTTATGACATCTCCTTCACAACCTGACACTGCAGCTGCAACTCCCTCCAACTGGAGTCAAGTCTCCTGTCCTTTACAGTAGAAGAGGTGAGGGCGGAGCTCAAGAGACTACGTCCTGGAAAGGCAACACGCACGGATGGTGCAAAACATCATGTCTTGTTCCAGTACTTAAAGTAGGACGACCGGCTGAGATAAATGACTACTGACCGGTGGCGCTCACATCACACATCATGAAGACCCTGGAGCGGCTGCTTCTCCACCTTCTGAGGCCACAGGTTAAACATGCACTAGACCAGGTTGTGTGTGTGTGCGCACACCAACAGATCTTAAAAACTGTGATTGAACTAACTCTAGTCAATAGTATGAATGGGAGGCACACTCGCATCTACTGAACAGAAGACCATCATCTAGCCCCACACCCAACAGAACCCCTGCCATCAGCACTCTTCATAGTTCCTTATATAATTAGCATGTGGTGTGTTTCATTGAGCTTCATTATTTCAGAGTTTACGGATTCTCTCTCTCTCTCTCTCTTTCTCAGCTTTGTTCATTTCTGCCCAGATACCGCGTTACTACCACCTGCTGAGATAATGGTTGCTATCAGCTTCTGAATTTGTATTGCAGTCTATCGGAGAGTTGTTATGATGGTTGAACAGTTCCTGTTGCTTAAAGTATGCAGGAGTAATTAACGACTGAAGGAAAGTAAAAGGATGTTTCTCTCTAATGGTTATGGAAACATTAAAATGAGAGTTTAACAAACTTACAGAGTTGACTTTACATGATGACAAATCGATGAACAGAAGAATACAGATATATACATTGAAACAATATGAACCAGAGAGAGGAGCAGGAGAGCTGACTGAGAAGGAGGGTGTCCAGAAATCTGTGGAAGAGTGTCAGGCTCAGGAGTCATGGCTGAGTGAACATGTGATAAGACACACATGACAGCTTCTTCATTGATTATGTCTTTAATCAGTAATATGGGACTGATTTAATGGTTTAATCCTATGTTGGAAAATGTTCCATTTATCTCTAAGTAGTTCACTCTGAGTTGAGACGTCCGAGAGGTCAAACATTGGTCAAGGCATGACAGCAGCCCCCTGCTGGCAGAGGGACTGTGGACTAACTCATGTGGCTCTCCAATAGCAGTTGTTTCTAAATTTGATCTGATCTTCAGCCTTTCTTTGAGATGCTTCAGTTTGTCTTTAAATGTAGGTTTGGTTCTGGTCAGAGCAGCAAATTAACTCACAACTAAATAACTGCTGTGAGGAAGGAACTAAAAGCCTGAACCTGGTTGAATATTTGGAGGTCACCTGGTTTAGGTTGGGTTTCTCAGTGGCTGGAGAACAGAGGAACAGAGACCATGTCGATCAGCTTCTCTCTCTGAGCAAGAATGCTGACATTCCTTCACTGTCCACATGTATTTGAACTTCTTTTAGTCCTTTAGTCAGGGGTCTATTCCAGAAAGTGGGCTTGAGTTTTTTAACCCCTTCGATGAGGGAAACTGAGATCACTATAACTCTGAGACAGTTACCATGGTAACTTACTCTGCGAAGCTAACCTGCTCGCTGGCAGGATTTCTTCAAAAAAACCCTGAGTTTCTGTCTCTCTTCACCTTTCCTGCTGCGATTTGAGAAGCTTCTAATATGGCACATCATTTTTTCACTCATACTGTCTGTATCAAAGGGCAGATTGGAGCGCTTTCATTTAAAGAATTAACATTGTGAGACAATTAAAATCTTGTTTGGAGTTGTATTGGTGTCCACAGTGTCAGTGTTATAATATGAGTTGAGGATAAGGCCTCCATGTGTAACTTAATATTTAAATCAGAGATCACTGTCTCTGTCCTCACACTGACTGATCGATCATAAAAGATGTAATGTTAGTAAAAACAGGTCTTGGGTAACTTACTAATGTCTTTCATGTTGTCAATCAGTTTTTCTGCACTGAAACATTTATTATGCATTCATAATCATATCGTAGATGATGTGATATTTCTGAGTGAGGATGACAGGAGTGCAACATTTGAAAACTGGACTAAATGTAGTATAAATGTCTACGTTTGAATACAGGCTACAGGTAGTCTAAAACTGTTTTAACAGCATATCCGTTATTGTATCTTAATTTACTACATGTTGAAATATAGTCATTGATGCTCTTGAGCAAGATTTTTAAATGTAGCCTAGACATCTGAAACTTTACACTCAACTTTAACCTTGATGCTTTTTCAACTGAAAATCACCAAAATCATGTGGCTCTTCCTGGGTTAGAGTCTGAGGTTACAATCATAGATCTATAAACTTCTGTCTGAAGTGGATAACTCTGAGTGAACATACTCAGAGTTGACTGACCTTTCTCAGATCAGCTGTTCTGGAACCGAAAACTCAAAGTTTCCATCTCAGGGTTCATCAACTCAGAGTTCGAGGTTAAAGTCAGAGTTTATTAAACCTGCTTTCCAAAACAGTTGATCTGAGTCAGTTCAGTCAACTCTGAATATGCTCACTCTGAGTTAACCAGTTAGACCAGTTTTTAAATGTGAAAGTATTTTCAGCTGCACTACTGTCATCCTCACTTTTTCTGTTCATCAGTGCGACCAATCAGAACATGAGAAATTATTCTTCATTGATCAGAATCTGTGTCTAAAGCTTCACACTGATTTTTTTCCACATGTAATATTTTAGATCGCTATCTCCTCTCACTGACTGACTGATCATAAAAGAGGTAATGTTCGTAAAGACAGGTTTTGGGTAACAAACTAATGTCTAATCAGGATTTTAATCTAATCTCTCAAAATAAACTTCCTTAAATGAATGTTTCTGATCCGTACATACAGACAGTGGATGAGGAAGTGACGTATGTCAGAAGCTTCTTAAATCCCAGCAGGAGGGGCAGATAGAAACTCAGGTTTTGTTGAAGAAAACCTTCCAGCGAGCAGGTTAGCTTCACAGAGTAAGTTACCATGGTAACTGACTCAGAGTTAAGTGATCTGATTTTCTGGAATGTAAAAACCCAGAGTTTCCTTCATCTCAGGGTTAACAAACTCAGAGTCTTCACTAAACCCGCTTTCTGGAATAGACCCCAGATTTGTCCGTCTTGGGTTCTACTCAGACACCTACTACAACAGTCTCATCAAACTTAAATGAATACAAATGTGTGTGGACTATTGTTACAGCTATTTTGAACAATACAACTTGTACAAAAAATGATGCACCCCTGTCATGCACCCAGTCTTAACCCTCAAACAACTATTTAAACTTGTGGGGTCCGGCCTCTTGGTCCCCACAAAGCTGTCGGACCCCACAAGTGTAGTGTACCCAGTTTATGGATCCCACGAATATAGTAAAAACAAGGCCACATCCTGACATTTAATCCCAGTAAACATCACCTGTCTCATGTATGTTAGGATCACTACTTCATTTTAAGAATAATAGTAGAGAGAATGATTTATTTCAGATTTTATTTCTTTCATCATAATCCCAGTGTGTCAGAAGTTTACATATACTTTGTTAGTATTTGGTAGCATTGATTTTAAATTGTTCAACTTGGGTCAAACTTCTCAGGTAGCCTTCCACAAGCTTTGGACAATAAGTTGCAGAATCTTGGTCCATTCTTGCTGGCAGAACTGGTGGAACTGAGTTAGTGTTGGAGGCCTCCTTGCTCATACATGCCTTTTCTGTTCTGCGCACAAATTTTTAATTAAAGTAAAAAGTCAGTACTTTGTGATGGCCACTCCAATTCCCTGACTGCATTGTCCTTTTTTGCCACACCTTTGGAAGTATGCTTGAGTCATTCTCCATTTGGAAGATCCATTTGTGACTGAGCTTTAACTTCCTGGCTGATGTCTTGGGATGTTCCTTCAGTGTATGCACATCATTTTCCTTCACCATGGTGCCATCTGTTTTGTGAAGTGCATCATTCCCTCCTGCAGCATAGCAGGGTAATGTTAGCAGGTTTGTGTTAAGGCTATATTGTCAAACTACTGCCCCAGGCCAAGAATTATTTTTCACACTCAAGTTTTATCATCTGATTTTAAATGTATCACATCTAACCTCAAGTAGTATAATGAACCATTATTTCACCTTTTAATCTCACTCACAGTCTTGCTGACTTTTGAAGTGTGACTTGCTTGGACCCCGGAGAAGCTGGGCATGCAGCACTGGTTTTGTAGACCCTACAGTCTGTAGTCTTCTTCATCTGCTGCTTCGCCCTCAAACCACCACACTGCAACCCTGAAAAGCATTTAACCTAGACTGAATCTTAGTCTGATCAAATTTTTTCAATTAAATCTTAAAATAATTTTTGCCACACTGTATGCCAGTAGGTTGGATTTAATTTAAGCTGTGTAAAGTATCTGAATACCACTACATCCATATAAGAAACAGCTTAGAAACATAAGTAGTGTTGTATGGAGTTAATTTTCACATGAACTGTGCAGCATGTTGGGGGCTGAATGGGTCACATCTGTGCCTGCGCCTTATTAAAGTTGTATTGGGTAGGTCAGTGTACATTCCTGTGAGTGTGGCAGGTGTGGCAGTTGAACTTTTTGGTGAAGTTTTGTTGTTGCTCTGAGTAGCGGCTCAGGCAGTGGTCAGTCCCATAACGTAAAGCATCCCCACATCAAATTAATCTCAGGTATTTGGTTAGAAAATTTTTAATTAAGCTAAAAGTGATGAGAAAATGTTTCACACTTCAGTTTTTTAGTCTTTATGTTCTCTGTCTGCAGGTCCACCTGGAAACCCCACCTGAGAATTCATCATCGGAAGGTTTTGATAAACTGAAAGTCAGTAACGCACTGCGTTATGAAGTCTTGACAGAAATCCTCATCTCTCTGGGCCTCAGCTGTGAACTACACCATACTCCAGCCCCAAGCCCAGTTCACTTGCTGGCCACCTCTCTGGTAAGAGCCACGGTGCTCATCTGTCAGTACTTTGTCAGGCTGCAGGATTGAGGTCACAAAGGTTACAGTGAAACAAGCGTGGTGTTAGTCACAATCTTGATGATGTAATGGATCTATTTTCTGTGACTGGATTTGTTGAGTAAAACCTTTTCATCAACATCATATCCAAACCAATGGAGTGTCCACATAACACAACCTGTTATTCTCTGCAACATCAAGCACACAGACAGAAGTAGAGTGTCGGATAAGACTTGTCTGATGTGTAAAAGCAACAGCTGACTGTCTGTTGTTGTTTGGAAGAATGTGAAAATTCACTTAGGTCTGAGAATGAAAACCGAACATTGAGTGTTATCTTTACATTTATGCTGACATTCTGCCCCCTCTGAGAACGAATAACAGTTCCTCCATCACCATCATCGAACCATTCATTGTATACACACACACACACACACACACACAGACACACACACACACACGGTGAACACCACATTGTTTTTATTAAAGTTAATTGTGAGACTGACAGCACATATATTCTGCATAGTACACATGTGGAAACAATTTGCTGCCCTAAATGGATGCAAATATATGTGCATATATGAGCAGCAGGCTTACAGCAGGTCTGTGAACACAAGGCCAATAAAAACATGTGGGGGCAGTAGATCAGTCTTTGATCAGCCGTCAAGTGACTGACCATGTGGTTTGATTTTTGGAAAACATTGAAATTCACTATATCTTGCGGATGTGTCCATGGAAGGCCACCTAATTAAAAAGCTATAAGAATATATTAGGAATGACTGAAAAAAGTAATTTGAAGTGTTTAGGTACAATATTCACTCAGTAGGCAGTTTATTTGGAACACCTAGCAGAAGCTAACAGTGCTGCAATAAATCATCCACAGTGAAGCAGTGAGTAAAACTTACTGCTTTACTGTTCTTTCTTGAATTTGTGTTGTTACAGTGAATCATCCTCATAGCAACAAGATACACCATGTCATTCAACTTGACTTATAAATATAACACAGTTCCATCAGGGGGATTACTGGTGTCTACAGGGACACAATTTAAAACTGGTACCGAACTGCTGCAAGCAGCTCAACCAATGAGGAGTGGTTCTTATTGTACCAATGTCTGCTTTGTAAAATATTTGTATGGATCTGTAAGAGAATGTCAAAACCAACTAAATTACTTTTGCACTGTTACACAAGTAGTAGTTTAGCATGATTGGTGTGGTCATCATGGAATAGGAAGAGTTTCATTCAACAACAACCACTAGGGGGAGTCAGAGCTTCAGGTTGCTGAGAAGCAGGAAGTACCTGAGTCATTCCTCAAAGCAGCTCAGGTGACATTCCCAAATCCTCCACTGGTGGCAGTGAAGTGGGTACTATTGAACACAGAGCCTGGGCCTCCCATCAAAACTAAGACGGTATTAAACTAACATTAGTTGTAGCAACAGTAGTTTTGCAGTTGTTTTTGTCTTCATTGTTGTATATTTGGATTACTGTGTGACCTTTGATCCTGCTGCCCCAGCCACTTTGTACCAACAAGCAGCAGGCTAATGGAACTGAAGATTCAGAATTGTTTCCAGATTGTTGTGTAGGTTGAGGAGGAGAGCTGCGAGCTGCTTCCCTCTACACATCTGCAGAGTGGCTTCTCAAATCCTAGTGCGCTATGGTTGGCTTTGCGGCTGTAGCTTTTATTCAGTCCTGAAGTTATAAGGATGTTTTGGTCTTGAGTGGACCAGCATAAGTATGAGGGTGGAGGTTTCCTTCAGTACAATGAGTCTTATAATAGTTCCTGGCTTATTTGAAAATTTTAATGATGTTTTTGTGCTGAAACAGCAACTTAAATTAATGGTTTACCTAATTTAACAGAAAATGAATGAATAGTTTTAAGCTGCTCTTCAAGCAAAAAATTACTTTCTCTGATTAAGAAGGATGAAGGTGACCAAATATGAGTAAATTCACAGGGACTAAATCTAAAAATGAACACTAAGCAGATTGAATTCGGTTGTTATAGTTACATTTCAGATCTCAGAAATCTTATTCCCATTTGTTGATTTGAACATCTTGTGTGTGAAGTGTGGAACAGAATAGAATCAGTGAGATCTATCAGGTCGGTGGTGTGTATAGCGTGTGTGTTGGGACTGGGACTAATCTGTCATGTTCAGCAAATATTGTGGTAGGGTTTGATGAGAAATAGGACTCAACTTAACTTTATGATCCATCTGTGAAATATTAGTATCATCTAATGGTACTCTGGGCCCTCTTCAGTCAAAGAAAAATCACATTTCCAGTAGCTATGACATCTACATCAACCTTTATTTATGCTGTACATCATGGACAGAATTGCAAAATTCCAGTGCTTCACATTATGAGATCACATACATACAGCCAAAGACAATGAGAGAATAAAGTAAAACCTAATGAGAGAGGTGAAGGAAGTCCGCATTAAAATTATATGACAACATACAGTATTTGTATGTGTTAGGACAAAGGAGAAACACCTGACTAATGAGGAGTGACAGGGATAGAGCACACTGGGACTGCTGCTAATTGTTACTCACTCATTGCCCACGCACACTGATTAACTCATTCAACATATATTTCAGATCTTATTTTGGACAGATGAGTCTGAACTGTCTCTAACGTTGGGAACAAACTGCCTGGGTTGTGTGAGCATGACGGCTGACGTTGCTGAACTGCTGCAGAGAAGCACATGTATGTTCACACCAGCTGTGTCTCTGCTGCGTCGCTGCTACTGCTAGCTCTATCTCTCTACATAGAGTTTGCATGCTACTAGAATGTTGGATTTCATTTCATTAGAAATTAAATTCTGATTTATTTTTGACAGAAAACATCACTAAAATGCTGCAAACAGGCAGTTTGTCCAATTTACCCCGTTAACATGTGCACAGAAATGAAAACCAAGACATTCCGCAGCCGCGATGCACACGCAACACATCCAGTGTGGTCCTGGCCTAAGAGCTTTTAATGAGAGACGTCAAACATATCAGCAGTTTCACATGTGTCTATGCTCACTGCGGTTTTAGTTCCACTTATTGAAACCAAGTGTTCAGAACCCCTGAATAAACTGCACAGGCTGAGTTGGTGAAATCAAACAGTTCCTACTTTATTTTATACTTATCACAAAACATGTTTCTGTGTCTAAATGTGTCATAGTCTAAACACTGAAGGATAAATCTGGTGACATTCTGTTTTTCATGTTGTCAACAAATCCCATACGAGGTGGTATATTGTAGTTTATTCCTCTGTGCCATGGAGCTGTTGGTCAAAAACTACTGAACACGCATCAGTGAGACACACTGTTGCACACCGTGATATGTTTCCTCATCACCATGAACAGTGAAGATAGTCCTGAACAAGTGCCTCTTTAAAAATGAGACAATAATTACATCTTGAGTGGGAACCAATGGGTTTAGAGCTGAGAGCCTCACACAGCAGATTCAGATTAACACATTAGCTGCTTTGATCTTTTGATGATATATTTGTTGAAAATAAGAAATGCATCACAAATGCTCAGAGTGGGTGCCTAGGCCTGTGTATGTTTTAATGCAAAGCAAAACCCATTACACAGTAAAAGCAAGTGTGGACTTTGCTCTAGACAGTTTGCCTGTAGAGAATTGGCCCCCATATTTGATATAAAAAGAAACAAACACTGGTTTTGTTGTGATTCTGTGCTTCTCTTTCCTCCACAAAGAATGCCAAGGCCAGCTTCCTGAGGTGGATGGAGACACGAGCGGATCAAAATGGCCTCCTCACATTGCCCAAGACCTCCTTGAGGATGGTGTCCTTTTCTGAGCTCCAAGATGGTCCTTTGCTGCCTGAGGGCTCTCTGGCCCTGGTCACCGACTCTTCAGAGTCCCAGAACTGGGCACAGTTCAGTATGGAGACCTACAGCAAGAACCTGAAGACCAGCCTACTGGGGCACACCCTGCTGTATGCTGAGATCGCCACGTCTACCATGGACCTGTTAGAAGGGTAACACACTGCACACTGAGGCCGGCAGCAGGGTACTGTCATAGACATGCACATCAGAGCAGTCCAAACTACAATAGTTCTGACTGCTGTGATGTGCACAGGCTAATCTGCTGTAACCTCACACACACCTGTGACCACAGAAAACACACCTGCAGCTAGTCAGTGAGGGTCAGTGAGAAAATATGGCTCATACTGGAACCACTTTGTTGAAATACTCTGTTCTGTTGACTGTTCATCCCAGTAACAGATCTGTTTGTTTTATTCCTACACTGTAAAACTTTGTAAACAGTTAAAGAGCCAGGTGTCTTCAGATTCAAGAGTTAGTCAACTGCATGTCCATAATTTAACCTGAAGGAATCAATATTCTCATGTATACATTTTGTGAACTTTTGCAGTGTTTAACCTCAGAGCTCTGAGTGTGATGATCATCATCAAACTCTGGGTGTACAGAGTAGTACACAGTAGCATTAATTGTACAGTCGTTTTAAAACACAGAATCAAGTCAAAGGGTATTGACAAAGGGTTATGACATACTCGGGGTGGCCCTCCTAGCATGATTGCTTGCAAAAGCCTATCTGTAATTTAGCTTCAGGGATTTTCTCCTTTTTAATGAGCTCACTCTCACCTCCACTTCATCTTCTGTTCTCTTTCACCTGTGCTGTTTATTTGCCTTGCCTGACACTCTGGGCCAATCAATTAGCCAAGCCACCAAGAGTACATCGACTTGGTTCAAGTGTTGGTTCTGGTGACATCACTAGTCCATACACACATGTTCTGTGTGTTGTGTTTGACAAAGCATCCGCACATACACGTGTTGAGGATTAAAGATAAAAGGCAGAAGAATGTCTGTGTGTAGTATGGCGTTTCAGAGTCCCTGAACACACACACACACACACACACACACACACGATTAAAGGCTGTGTTGTATGTATGTGGAATGACAGACAATACACAGACAGTAATCAAAAACTGATGTCATGTGCTTTTTGAGATGCTCACTCATTAATGAATCAATAAACAGCCTATTTGACAAAAGAGGAAAATGAAGTTGACACCAGCCTGGTGAGGGAAAGATACAATACAGCATAAAAATCACACAATGAAACCAGCATTTGGCACTCCACACACTTCTGTGTGTGTTTGTGTGTGTAGGCACATGCTGGGGTGGGAGGGTAGACAGGCTGGAACTAATTTAATGCCTTAGTGACCTCACTGCAGCAAGTCAAGTTGTTCCTAATAGACTTCTTTGTCTGCATCCACACATGTGAGTAAAAGTGGCTGTTGAGCAGGTCGATCAGGCAGCAGGTGGGAGCAATTAAAACTGTCATAAAGTTTGAAAAATGGATTGTGGAGCAGCACTGAGCTGATTGGAACAGACAGTGTTGTCATTAAGGTTATACAAAAACTAAAGCAGGGTGAGTGAGCCGGCCACATAACCCCCAAACCTTTTGCTGCAGTTTGATTTCACTGTTAATATTTGAGTTTCCAGATGTCCCTCTGGAGAAACCTTGATTAATGTTATTATTAAGGAATTTCTGTTTTATTTCTTCAAGCATTTGTGTTCATTAAGTATTCATTATGCCGTGTGAATACTGAATATGTTCGGGAAAAACCAACCTTTTATGTAGAATTGACAGTTTGAAAACAGTTTTAGAGAAATGCTAGTGTGAGCTGACAGGGAGAAAGTAGCATTTTGAATCACTGGTGTTTCAGTCTTACACCAAAGAAAACATTTTGTTTTCTGTGCCTCGGTGCAGATTTCAGCAAGGTTGTGTACTAAGCACATACTATCAAACAAACACTCATTTAGCTTGTACATGGACTCTGACCGGGTTAAAGGGACACACCATTTTTACACATGAAAATCTGGTTCCCTAGTCATGATGAATAGTCCTCAGCCTGTGTCCTCTGTGGGCTCTGGGGAGCTTTGTCACTTAAATCCTTTGCAGGATCTAGTGTTTGGAGTATGACCTATACTAAGGACCAGAAGTCAGGATATCTTGGCTTCTGGTGCTTCAGATTTCTTTGTTCTTTCTGTCATTGGTCTCTGCACAACCATAAAGTCTCAAAAGTTTATAGATGGCCATTTCCAACTCGGTGGTATGCTCCTTTAATCCGGTGTAAATTTGACTACCTGATTTTGATTTAATTTGAATCGTAGTCTAAAATTACAAGTAGCAAGAGACAGTCTGTGAACCTCTGAATGACCTGGTTTTCTGCATTAACCGGTCATAAAATGTGACCTAATCTTCATCTAAGTTACAGATGTAGTCAAACACAGTGTCCCTAAGATAATGTCACACAAACAATTATACTATTTTCTGTCTTTTTTTGAACACATCCATTAAACATTCACAGTGCTGGTGGAAACAGTCATTGAACCCTTGGATTTAATAACTAGTTGAACCTCCTTTGGCTCCAATAACCTGAAACCAGCTCTTCCAGTAGCTGTTGATCAGAGCTCCTGAATGTTCAGAGGAATTTTGGACCACTCTTCTGTATAGAGCTGCGTCAGCTCGCACATATTCTTAAAATGTCTGGTGTGAGCGGCTGTCTTCAGCTCAGTCCACAGCATCTCTGTGGATTAAGGTCTGGGCTCTGACTGGACCACTCCAGAATGTGGATTTTCTCTGACGTGTAGGGTCATTGTCTTGCTGCATTTGCAGCTTCTCCTGAGCTTCAGCAGGTGGGCAGCCATTCTGACATTATCCTGGAATGCACCTTGACAAACTTGGGAATACATTTTCCCCTCGAAGATGTGGAGCTGTCCAGGCTCAGAGGCAGCAAAGTCCCAAATCATGATGCTCCCTCCACCCTGCTTCACCTTTGGGAGGACGTTTTCATGTTGGTATGCAGAGCCCTTTTTACACCACACATAGAGCTGCATGTTCTTCAAACAGTTCAACCTCATCACTCCATTAAACACTTTCCTAATAGTGTTGTGAAGAGTCAAGCTGCTCTTTGACAAACTACAGGTCCATGATGTTTTTTTGGAGAGTAGCAGCTTCCTCTGTGGTGTCCATGGCATGCACTCCATGCTCCATGTTGTGTGTGTGGTCAGTTCAGATTCAGACAACTTTACTTATCCAAAGAAGGGCAATTCCTTTACAGCTTGCCCAGTCCATACACACAACTTTAAAACTCACAGGCAAAGTAGTAGTTTATATCAGAGAAATATAACAGTCTGTGGTGGCCCTGAGAGCTCAACACACTGCAACTTAACAATGAAAACACATGCCAATACACAAACGCGTTGCAATTTCAGAAAACATCATCATCAATTTGACAGCACATGCGCAACAAAAACTAACAACACAAAGGCGTGTTTCCAGGGGACACAAAAAAGTGACGGACCCGGCCCGGGCTCACTTGTTGTTCAATGCTTCTTGACTTTTGAAGTTATGAAGACGGCTATAGTGGTGTTTGAAAATGAGCTAAAGGTGAGTTTCTTTGGTTTATTATAACATTTATTATAAGACTAAGGATAACCTTACAGTACATATTTGCAATAATACCTGAATAATGCGATATTGACGTTATAATAAACCAAACAAACTCACTGTTGTCTGAGAGACATGTCATTACTGAAATGTAAGATGCTGCTTCTTAGTGGAGAAGCTCAAACAGCTCAGTCAGCTGTAAAGAGAGCTTCTGGTGATAGAGGATGGTGTTTGACCAAACGGGAGCAACAGTGTAACATTATTATACACAAATGCAGATCCTTTGAATAAGACTGCAATGAAGTAGTAATTAGTTCATCTGTTCATTTCTCTACAGATCACATTTTATTTACTAATGAAAAATTGAGATACATTTTGTCCTATTTTTCCTTTTTCAAAGTTTTTATTTAGTTTTTGTGTCATTTCAATAGTGGAAATATATTAGAATATATTTTGTACTTATTTAAGCTTCTTACTTGTACATAACTGACTGTGTCTATTTCACATTGTCTATTATTTCATAACTTAAATACTGCAAGACTTTGACTTGTATTATAGTACATTTTAAAGAATTGAGATTTGAATACTTCCACCAGTGACGTTCAAGTTCATCAAGACTAAGCAGTCAGGCAGTTTTTCAGACAGACAGAGTGGAGATGAACAGTTTAAACTGGTCCTTATATTGACGTCAGATCCTCTTATAATAATGTCACAGAACAGTGGTCCAGGTTTACCCCCCTTTTAGTACTTTGATTACCACATTGGTGCAAATGGCGTGAGTGAGTCCCCTGTTGGACTCAATGCTGTCTGTACCATTCACTGTTTGTCATTCCCCTGCTCCCCCCACATCGACATTTCCTCTGTCTCCACACTGTGATATCCAATAAGACTGAAAAAAAGGTAAGAACACCAGTAGAAACAAATGAAAAGCTCCCCACAAGTCTGAACAGGCAGTTCTTGGTCTGAGCTGATTTTAAAAGCCTCCACAGTCTCCCTCAGATTTAAGCCTGGAACAACCAACAAACCTGATTACAGGACCTTAGAGACTGGCTTGAATTGACTTAAAATGTGAGTGAACTGGGGCGTCTGGACCTGGTGATCAGCTGCAACAATGCTTGTCCAGTCCAGCAGGCTCTGTTGTTGCAGGTCATGGCTTCTTCTGTCAACACTCACTTTGCTTCTCATCTTTATAACAGTGGTGAAATATACAAGTAAGCTCCTCTTTTATTGAGCAGTAACTAGATGAATTCAGTTTGTAAAACATACACACAGTATCAGACACATAATAATACATCACATACAGCAAGAAATCTTTGTTAGGCAAATTAAAAACAAGGTCATTTGCGTCCAATGCAAAAAGCAGTAAAATACAGAGTCAGTGGCTTCAGAGTGTGAAACCCTTCACTTGGCTTTGAAGTGTCTGGCAGAGCAGGGTCATATTTATAATTTTATATAAAAGACATAAATATTCATAGACAATTAGAGCAAAGTAAGTAGAATTACAATATTCCAAAGTATATTGTTGCTTTGATAACTAGGGTTACATGGTTAATCATATAA